GAGGGACTGAGGGAAAGGGGAGGAAAGGAAAGGGCGGAGGATGAGAAGGCGGAGCGGGGGATGGGGGCGGAGGATGAGACGGCGGGGAGGGGGAGGGCGGGCGGAGGTGGGGCTGGGGGAAGTGGCGTGGGAGGCGAACATGGGCGGACATTGGCCAAGCAATCGGGGCAGTGATGCGCAGAGTCGATCGCGAGGGAAGGAGGGAAGGGGACGAGTTCCCCCTCAAGTGCAGCACTGTGGCAGTGCAGTTTGGTTCGGGACAGGAGGTTTGACGAGGAGGAAACAGGACGAGGTGGACGGGAAGGAGGAGGATGAGGCGGGGGGATGGGGGGCAGGGGAGGATTGAGGAGGGAAGAAGTCTGGGGAAACACGAGGGGAAGGATGAGGTTGTGGAAGATGAAAAAAGGGGGGGCCGGAGGGATGAGGGAGGAGGGAGGGGGATGATGGAAGAGGGGAGAAGGAAGGAAGGAAGGAATGACGGGGGGGAGGGAGGGAGGGCGGGAGGGATGATGATGATGATGATGATGATGATGATGATGATGATGATGATGATGATGATGCTGATGCTGATGCTGATGCTGATGCTGATGCTGATGCTGCTGCTGATGATGATGATGATGCTGATGATGCTGCTGATGATGATGATGATGATGATGATGATGATGATGATGATGATGATGATGATGGTGGTGGTGGTGGTGGTGGTGGTGATGAGGAGGAGGAGGAGGAGGAGGAGAAGGAGGAGGAGGAGGTTAGGCTCAGGACGATGAGGCTGAGGAGGAGGGGGTTTGCAATTGCGCACATGTATCGCACCCCCTCGTCAGGACTGTAGGGAACGGGAGTGTCAGGTGCGCGCTCTCGCTGCCCGGGTACTTGCCCCCCAGCACAAGCCTCGTTTGCGCGCGAGACGGAAAGTCCTTCCTCGCTTCCACTCCCATTCTGCGCCTTTCCATGAGGAGAGGGGCGCTGCGCGCGCGGGTTGGCGATTCGTCTGTGCAGTGCCGCAGCTGTGGGAGACGTCCCAGGCCAGGCCGGTGGCGACACCTGCAGTCACCTCTTCTCTCTATACTTATGCGTGCCCCTCAAAGCGCACGCGTCTCTGTGGAGTGTCTTGCGGCCGTGTGCCCTATGCAGGCGCTTTGCACAGGGGGTGGGTATAGCAGATTGGTGGTATTACCCGATCATGCTTCTCATAGGTTATCAGCCGATTTGCCAGAGTTGCGAGACCGACGCTGTCAGTCCCGGGGGGGTTTGCTACGTCATTTATTTATGTGGCCTTCCCGACCAGCACCTCTGTGGGACGGCCTCCGATCGAGGTCCAGGCGGAGGCCCACTCTGAGCTAAAGTGCCATTCGGAAGACGGCGCGACTGCTTCATTCAGATGCTGTGACGATTTGTTTGCCCATTTTTTGTGCGCCTTGTGATCCATCGTTGATTGTCTCTTGCCATTTCAATCCATCTTTGTTTCTCCCTTCCCACGTGTCCACCCATTCTTTCTCTTTCACGTTTATGATTGCGCATGTTGCCACCGCGCTCATTCAGGGGCGATTTCGGAGCGATTGCTGCGCGACCCTCACGCCGAACGGTTTCCTTCCCCTTGCGCCCGTTTTCTTTCTCCATGCGCTTCTGTTTGCGCGCGCGGAATCCCGGCGCCCTGGCAGAGTTGCACGGTGCGCGGGCCCAGGCCTGCAGGCCGGTGATCCCGACTTCGGCTTGCGATTTCGCCTCCCTCGAAGCCGCCATGTGGGCGAGGCGTGGGCGGCGGCGGGCCTCGTGCATGGCGCCCCCCGGCTCGCGAAGAGTAGGCCGAGCTCGGGGGCTCCCAGTGCTCGCAAGGAGACAGCGAGTCACATCTTGGAACAGCGCTGCTCGAACAGCGTCCAGAAGTCAGCTGGCTCTTCTTGTTCTTCTCCCCCCTGCGCGACGGACTACCTCGCGCGCGGGCGCAAGGTCGATGCCACGATAGGCGCACACAGCTGAATCGTGACTTGCTGATTGTTCGTCTGTGGATGACGGTTGTCGCAGACTCGTTCTGCACCTTCAGAGTTCTCTTTCCCGCGGATCCCTCTTCGCTGGCCCCGTGCGGACCCTTAGTTTCTCATTTTTATCGCATGTGCGCGGATGTCCCCCGTCGCGTGACGGACTACCTCGCGCGTGCATTCTTCTTCCCTTCGTGTCTTTTCATTCTCCCTCCTTTATTCAGGCCCCGCGGCCTCCGGCGGTCGTGCCCCCCCCACCCCCCCCGCGTCTGCCTGGAGTCGGGTTTTTTCTGTCCCCTGCTCTCTCTCTCTATTCCTTTTATTTTTTATTTTTTTTTCTCTCTCTCTCTCTCTCTCTCTCTCTCTTTTTGTTTGCTCTCTCTCTCTCTCTCCCCCTTTTTTGTTCTCTCTCTCTCTCTCTCTATTTTGTTGTTCTCTCTCTCTCACTCTCTCCCTCTCTTTTGTATTATCTCTTTCTCTCTCTCTCTCTCTCTCTCTTTCTTGCGTTTTTTTTTTTTTTTTTTTTTTTTTTTTTTTTTTTTTTTTTTTTTTTTTTTTTTTTTTTTTTTTTTTTTTTTTTTTTTTTTTTTTCTCCTCTCTCTCTCTCGATATATATATATATGTGTATATATATACATATATACATATATATAGTTGTTATCCTTCTTCTCTTCGCTTCTGCTTGGAGAAACCTCTGCGGGGGGGGGGGGGGGGGCAGCCTCGCAAGCTGGCGCCTCCTACAAAAGAGCACAACGTGCTCGAGGTGGCCAGAGCCCGGCTCTGATCGATAAGAGCAGCCCATTTTGGGCGGAACCGGCGCCCGCGATCGACAAGAATAGCCCTTTTCGGGCGGGGGCAACGCATATGTTTCTTTCTCCTTTATTCCTCTTCTTTTTTCCCTTTTCATGCCGTCTTGAATCTGGGGGGGGGGGGCGCGATGTCGGTGCCCCGGGCGAACTTTGTGGGCGGTTGAGCCCTATGGAGAGCCGTCATATTAGCATTCCCCTTCTTTGGATGCCCAATGGCACAAAAATAGGCCGAGGCGCCGGGGGCATTTGCTGTCGAAATCACATTGTCCTTCCTGCTTCCCCACAGGTGCACATCGGCATGATCCTTTTCTCCTGCGCCCCCACGTTCCCATTGTCATTGCGTTTCCCTCTCTTGTACCCTCTCGTATCGGGGGGGGGCGTTCTGTCGGTGTTCCAGGACCTGTGGGCTGTTGAGCCTTACGGACTTGCGTCGAGCTCACACCGATCCGCCTCCCGTCTTCCTCCTGTTTCATTATGCTCTTCTCTGCTTTTGTTTTGCCGTCGAGCAGGTGTCAGTCGACAGACGCACTCGCAGTCCTGTTTTTTGTTGTTGTCGGTCGTCGTTGCGGTCAGGCGCGTAACGTGTTCTTCTCCTACAAGTGGTTCGCGAGCCCACTATCCATTCTTTTCTACGCATGCATTGCCCAGTGTAACGCTTCTCTCCGACCGCCTCTTCGGGGGCGCTGTCGCTGCGAGGTCTGCCCGGCCCGCCAGGTCTGCCTCATCTCCTGATCTCTTTCCGCCACCTTATGACGCGCATGATCGCGCGTCGGTAGGGGGGTGGGGGGGGGGGGCGTCCCGGGCCAGGCTCGCGGCGGCGCCTGCAGTCCCCTCTTCTCTTTCCTTGCGCGTGGCCATCAAGGAGCGCGTCTCTGTTGAGTGTCCTGCGGGCGCGCGCGCTGCGCAGGCGCCATCCCGCAGGGGGTGGTCATAGAAGATTGGGGGCGTTGCCCGATCATGCCTCTCACGGCAGTTGCGACGCATCGGAGGGGCTCTCGCTCGCCATTGGGGGGTCTTTCGCCGCGACGGGGGTGGCGCCGCGATGGAAACCGCATGTTTTTGTCAGGATTCTGGACAAAACCCTTAGGGTTGCGAGCGAATCCATATGGGATGCGTGACATTTTGCGGGGGTGCGGAGGGGATTCTCGGGGGCCCCCTTGCGTCCCCGAGGGTTCCGACGGTGGGCCCTTGGCGCGGTGGGCCCCACTGGAAGCCCCGTTCGCTGGGCGTCGTTGGTCCGCCAGGCAGTTTCGGCAAAGAGGGGCTGGAAATTGTTGTTTTGTGTTCGGTTTTTGAGCGCGTTCCAAAATCCTTCCAAGGCCGATCGGGGACGAAACACGAATTGCCTTCCGAGCTCGCGTGGACACGGGCGAGCTCGAATCTGCCCGCCGCGTCGTTCGTCTTGCGCTCGCCGAGCACGCCGACCAAGAGTCGGATGGACCCTGGCTCCGGGGATAAGAACGGCAGGATGACATGGAACCGAGTAGGGCGAGGTGGGAAAGAACATGAGGATGATGAGGAGGAGGAGGAGGAGGTGGAGGAGGGAAGACGAGGAGATGAGAGGAGGCAGGGATGGGGCAGCGCAGAGGAGGGAATCCATGGTCGGGGAAGCGCAGCGCATGTTCTGAAGCTTGCCACGGGTGCGGCACGAGCGTGGCACACATCGGCTGCACGCATCACGCGCGCAGTGGGTGTTACCCGTCCTTCGCAGGAGGGACCAGCTGGCGCGTGATCGGGACCACCGTGCGTGCAGCGTGCTTCTGTGCGTCTGTGCGTTGCCCATATCAGATCTCGAGTGCGCCCTCCTCGCCCCCCTCATGTTTCTCACTGTGCAGGCGCTGGTGATGCCGTGCGGTGGCTGGACGGTCGGCATGGAAAAGCCTTTGTTGCGCTTGTATCCGCTTTTGGCTCTGCCTCCGACTTCTCTGCTGCTCGCTGCCTGCGTGCATCCTCGCGCTGCCCACCTGGCTGCTTCTCCGCCCGCGCGCCGTCGCTGCTCAGTTCGGCACTGCTTCCCGTGAGGTTCTCTGCCGGTGCCCGTTCTGAGGCTCCCCTTGGTCTCGCTGTTGTGCCCTCTGTCTGTGCTGGCCACCCCCCGCTGTCGGAGGACGCCAACTTGGCACACCCACACCGATCCCGACCGGCCTGATCCTGGGCCCTGGATCGTTGCGCGTGCCTTCCAGGCCAAACCAGAAGGGCGTACACCCTGACCCTGGGCCGAGTATGGGCCTGGCCACGATCGGTGTAGGTGCATACTTGGCGTCCTCCTGCGCTGTGCCTCCTAAGTCTTCCTGCCTCAGTCGCACCTGAGCTGACTGAGGGCCGCCGCGCACGTCCCACTTCCATCCCTTCCCCCTCATAGCCCATAGCCTCGGAGCTGGTTGGGAAAGTGATCCCCCGTGGGGGGTGAAGCGCAGTCAAGTTGGGTGGGAGGCAGGGTGTCGGGAGGTCAAAGCGCACCTCCTGCGACAGAGAGGACCACATGTCAGAAGATGGCCGCCGACGTCGTCGCCGTCGTCGTCGCCGTCGCCACTTCCGCCCCTGCCGTTGTCGTCGTCGTCGTCGTCGTCGTCTGTCGTCGGAGTCCGTTGTTCGTCCGTCCGTCCTCCCTCGGTCGGTCGGTTCGCCGCCTCTGGCGTCGTCGTCGTCGCCGTACACCTCTGCCATGCACATTTTGCTACGCCGGGCAGCCTCCGGTGGCCTAAGAGTTGCCAGGTCGTGAACGACCAGGTCGTGAAGCCAAGCGGCACGGTCAGCTGCTCGGAGGCCCCGACCGCCTCAGTACAGGCGTCGGCTGATGGGAGGATGCGCCGAACAGGGGACGAGGAGGAGGAGGAGAATCAGCAGGATGACGATGAGAATGAGGAGAAGGAGGAGCTGAGGAGGATGTTGCTGGTGATGATCAGGATGACGGTGAGGATGAAGATGAAGATAATGATGAGGATGCCGATGAGGATGATGGTGATGGTGATGACGATGCTGCTGATGATGATGGTGATGGTGATGGTGATGATGCTTGTGATGCTGCTGCTGCTGATGAGGATTATTGTGATAATGATGATGATTATGTTGTTGGTGAAGATGATGGTGATGACAATGACGATGATTCTGACGATGCTGATGATGATGATGCTGATGGTCATGATGGTGACGGTGGTGATGGTGATGTTGATGATGATGATGATGATGATGATGATGATGACGACGCTGGTCAGGATGGTGATTATGATGATGGTTATGGGGATGTTGATGGTGATGATCCTGATTATTATGATTATGTTGTTGCTGATGGTGATGATTCCGATGCTGCTGGTCATGATGGTGAGTTTGATGGCGGTGATGGTGATGGTGATGGTGGTGATGATGATGATGATGATGATGATGATGATGGTGATGCTCATGGTGATGCTGAGGATGATGAGGATGAGGCTGGTGATGCTGATACTGAAGATGCTGCTGTTGACGCTGATGCTGATGATGCTGATGATGATGCTGATGCTGCTGATGATGCTGATGATGATACTGATGCTGGTGCCAGTGCTGATGCTGTTGCTGCTCTTGCTGATCTTGCTGTTTCTGATGATGCTGCTGATGATGGTGATGATGGTGAGGATGTTGATGTTGATGTTGATGATGCTGCTGATGATGCTGATGATGATGATGACGATGGCGATGACGATGATGATGATACTGATGATGCTGATGTCCTTGATGATGGTGATGCTGATGATGATGATGAGGAGGATGATGAGGAGGAGGAGGAGGCTGAGGAACAGCAGGAGGAACAGGAGTAGCAGGGATAGAAAGAGAAGGAAAAAGGGTATGGGGTACAGGAGGAGGACTGAGGGAGAAGGCGGAGGATAATGCCCACCGTTTTCGGTCTGCGCAGCAGAACGATGGGTCAAACCTTGCAACCGCCATTTTGGGTCCAATGTGTTCCAGGACACCCCAGCCGTCGGATAGGAGCGGACTCAACGCAATGGGAAGGCTGTCACATTTGAGAGCTCACTTGAGTTGCCTCTCCCCTTCTCCCCCTCTCCCTCCCTCTCCCCTCCCTCCTCTCCCCCTCCTCTCCCCCCCCTCCTGTCCCCCTCTCCTCTCACTCCCCCTCCCTCTCACCCTCCCTCCCCCTCCCTCTCCCCTCTCCTCGCCTTCGCTCCCCCCCCCTCTCCCTCCCCCTCCTCTCGCCCTCCTGAGGCCACGGAGGACACGAAACGGTAGGATACCCAGACCACGGAGGACAGGGAACCGAGAAAACCAAGACAATGGAGGACACGAAGCCAAAGTCCAACGAACCGAGGACACGGAGGACACGGAACCGAGGGATCCCAGACCACGGAGAGGACACGGAACTTGTAGAACCGAAGACACGGAGGCCACGGAACCGAGGAAATTCTAGACGCTTCGCGTATCCCCACCAGCCCGTCCAGAAATGAGGCCCAGAGGAGTGGAGGTGATGAGGGAAGCGGGGGAGCACGCAGAAGAACAAAGAGCGGGTTAAGCCGCCATACGTTCCAAGAGGGGGAGGATGTAGGAGGAGTCGTCGTCGTCGGAGTAGGAGGAGGAAGACGAGGAGCAGGAGGAGGAGCAGGAGGAGGAGGGGGAGGAGGAAGAGGAGGAGGAGGAGGAGGAAGATGAGGAGGAGGAGATGGAGGAGGGCGAGGACGAGGAGGACGAGAAGGAGGAGGAGGAGGAGGAGAAGGAGGAGGAGGAGGAGGGGGAGGGGGAGGAGGGAGGAGGGAGAAAAAGAGGAGGAGGAGGAGGACAATGGCGAGCTTGGGGGCCTCTTGGGCCGTCTTTGGGGCCTCTTGGCGGTCCCGGGGGCCTCTTGCGTATCTCGGGGAGCTTCTTGTGTCCTTTTGGGAGTCTCTTGGAGGCCTCTTGGAGGCCTCTTGGGGGCCTCTTGGGGCCTCTTGGGGCCCTCTTGGGGCGCTCTTGGGGCGCTCTTGGGAGCCTTCGGGGCGCTCTTGGGGCCATCTTGGAGGAGATCTATCAAGAAGGGGGGGTTGCTTATTAGCGTTGCCCCTCTAGAGTGCCTCGAATCGCCTCTTGGGCCTTCCTAGAGGCCAAAATCCGTCCAAAACCTAAGGAAAATCAATGTTTTTTGCTTTCTCGCCTTTTCGCTCTTGGAGCCGTCTTGGGCCATCTTGGGAGCATCTTGGGGCCTCTTGGGGGTCTCTTGGGAGCCTCTTGGGGGCCTCTTGGGGCCTCTTGGGGCCCTCTTGGGGCGCTCTTGGGGCGCTCTTGGGAGCCTTCGGGGCGCTCTTGGGGCCATCTTGGAGGAGATCGATCAAAGAAGGGAGGGTCGTATATTAGCGCTGCCCCTCTAGAGTGCCTCGAGTCGCCTCTTGGGCCCCCCAAGAGGCCAAAATCCTTCCAAAACCTAGGTAAAATCAATGTTTTTTGCTTTCTCGCCTTTTCGCTCTTGGAGCCGTCTTGGGCCATCTTGGACTCTCTTGGGGCCTCTTGGGGGTCTCTTGGCAGCCTCTTAGAGGCTTCTTGGGGGCCTCTTGGGGTCTCTTGGGGCGCTCTTGGGGCGCTCTTGGGGCGCTCTTGGGAGCCTTCGGGGCGCACTTGGGGCCATCTTGGAGGAGATCTATCAAAGAAGGGGGGAGCCTCAATTAGGTTCGCCCCTCTAGAGTGCCTCGGATCGCCTCTTGGGCCCCCCCAAGAGGCCAAAATCCTTCCAAAACCTAAGGAAAATCAATGTTTTGTGTTTTCTCGCCTTTTCGCTCTTGGAGCAGTCTTGGGCCATCTTGGGCGTCCCAACGCGTCGCGGAACGCCCCGTCCAGGTCAGTGGGGAGGGGTAAGGGGAGGGGTAAACCCCTCCCCGAAGGGAAAGAAGGGGGGTTGGCAGAGGAAACTCTCTAGACCACCTACGCCCTAAAGGGCTGGTGGGATTGAGACCACAGAGGACACAGAACCGAGAAAATTGAGGCCACGACGGACACGGCAACGAGGAAGCCTAGGCCACGGAGGCCACGACGGACACGGCAACGAGAAAACAGAGACCAGGGACGACAACGAACCGATGGGACCGAGACCGCGGAGGACACGGAATTGCTTGTCTCCATTTATCTTTGAATTGCTTCAGCAGTGAGAATTCCGCTTCAGCAGTGAGAGTCCCTGTTCCGACCAAAGCGCCTCTCTCGGGACCGCCGGCTCGGGCCGCGTGGCAGGAGGCTCATGGCCTGGCTTTTTGCCCTCGGTGGGAGAGCAGCACCTGTTATTGCTCTGACTTCTGACCTGTATGCCTAGGTATGTGTATATGTTTATGTATGTGTCTGCGTATACGTATATGTATATGTCTATACATATAACGGGGGACAGGGCCCAGGGGCCCCGGGGCCGCGACCTCGACCACAAATGGGTTGTGCCGGGGACCCTGAGGCGCTTTCGCGGCGCAGGGGGCCCTCTTAAGATCGCCCGAAGACGGCACTGGACTGCCAGAAATCGCCTTCCAGACCACCCAAACGACCACTGACGGTAGAGATGACCCCAGAATTAGCCCCCAGAGGCCCCCCAGAGGCCCCCCAAGAGGGCCCCAAGAGGCAAACATCTGTGATTTTCCGAAGGTTTGTCGCCTGATTTTCGAGTTCTCGCCTTTCCAGTGTCCCGACGTTCCACGACAGCCCAAGAGGCCCCAATGTCTGCTCCAACACAGCCCAGAGGCCCCCAAGACGGCCCAAGAGGGCCCCGAGAGGGCCCCGAAACGGCACCCGAGGCGTCCAAGATGGCCCAAGAGCATTCCAAGACAGCCCCAAGAAGGGCACAGGGGGGATAACCCGAACCGACAGTCCGAGCTTTCAAGAGGCTCCCAAGAGGCCTCAAAAAGGCCTCGCAAGAGCGGCCGAAGACGCTCGAATGTTTGATTTACCATAGGTTTTTGACGGATTTTAGAGTTTTCGGCTTTTCGACGCTCCAAGACGGCCCAAGAGGCCCCCAACCAAGACCGCTCGAAGACAGCTGAAGCAGCCTCCAAGAGAGCTCCAAGACGGCCCACGAGGGCTCCAAGACAGTCCCTGAGACGCCCAAGACGGCCCGACAGGGCCCCAAGATGGCTCCAAGAGAGGCCCAAGAAGGGGAACGCGAACCCACAAGTGCCCGAAGGGTCGTAGTCTGTGAGACGCCCAAAATGGCCTGAGAGGGCCCCAAGACAGCTCCAAGAGAGGCCCAAGAAGGGGAATGCGAACCCAGAAGTGCCCGGAGGGTCGTGAAGACGCCTCAAGAGACGCTCAAAAGAGCCCCAGAGGGCCCCAGGAGACCCCCCAGAACGCCTGCGACAAGCCAAAAACCCTCCCAAACCAGAGTGAAATCAGTGACTTTAGCTTTCTCGCCCTGTCTCCTCCGATGATCCCGCTGAAACCTCACGATCGCTCCCAAGAGGCCCCCCTGAGGCTCCAAGACGCCCCACAAAGCCCCCAAGACGCTCGAAGAGCCCCCAAGACGCCCCCAAGCGGTCTTCGGGCCGTCTTGGGACGTCTTCAGGCGTCGGACAGCCGAAAAGGCGAGAAGGCCCAAATCTTTCAAACACCTCATGAATATCACAAATGTTTACCTCTCAGGGCTCTCTCGGCAGGCCTCTTGGGGCGCATTGGAGGCCTCTTGGGCTGTTTTGGGGCCATCTTGGGCGTCTTCGCCTGGTTTTTTGCCGCCTCAGGGCCCGGTCCTTCTTGGGGCCCTCTTGGGCCCGGTAAAGTAATGCGAGAAGCCGCCCCGGAGCCCAGAGGGCACCCCGGAGCCCAGAGGGCACGCCGGAAACCCCAGAGCAAAAGCGACCAGCCCCCAGAGATTTGAGATGTTTTGGCTGGGGCCCCTGGGAAACTCTTCAGGACTGAGGACGGAGGCTCAGGAGACTGAGCCTCTCGGGGCGCTCTTGGGACCGTCTTCGACTGCCCTTTGAATTTCTCCTGGGCACCCGCTGGGGCGCTCTTGGGATCTTCGTAGCACGCCTGGTCGGGAATCGTCTCTGCTCGGTCCACGTTCTGAATTATTACTTATCCACCACATGTTCTACAACTTGTGAGTGACTCCTGACGTTGTATGTGTGCGTGCGCATCTGCACGCAATTGTGAGAATGCCACGGGCTGGAGCTGGCTAGAACCTCAGCGCGAATCGCGCGCGTGGTTCTAGCATGTATATGTATATGTTTAGTTATACTCATGTGCACATTGATATGTACAGGTATGTATGCAGACATCCGTATATAGTTAGGAAGTTGTATATGCATGTGTAATGTATAGCTAACTGTACTTGTATATATGTTATGATATACATATGTACATGTATACGTTTATATACATATATATGTGTATACTTCTATGTATACGGTGTAGACTACGGAGGCATATTATACATTACATGTCTATGTACAGTTCCTAGGCTTCGCTTATGTTGTGCATGTAAATGTAGTTCAGCTCAATTATAATTATATAGATGTTTGTGTATATATATATATGTACGTCTCCGTAAAGACTTCGCTCGTTGCCGCTGGCCCCCTCTCTCTATCATATTGAGATTTCAGAGTCGCGTCGGTGCGTCTCGGCGCTGCCTTGGCGCATCTGGGAACATCATGCGGGGGCGGATAGGAATCATCAGCGCATATTGAGACGTTGGCGTGATCGAAGACGCCTACGGCAAATCACCGCCGCCCCCTGCCTCTTTGGAAGCGCCTATGTGGCCGAACGTTGAGGCCAGACCTGCCAAGCTATCGGACCATGTGCTCCCCGAATCGGTTGAGAAAGCCTTCGGGGAACATGTAGGCATCTTGAAGGTCATCTTGGCCGTGTGGAGGCCATTTTGTCGCTTTCGGGCCTTCTTGGAGGACGTCTTGGAGGGCTCTTGGGCCGTCTTGGAGGCCATCTTGAGCGTCTTGGAGGCCTCTTGGGCCGTCTTGGGGGCCTCTTGGGGCCGTGGGCCTCTTGGGCGATCTTTGGGGGCACTTGGGCCATCTCGGGCCGTCGGAAGGCCGAACAAAAACCAAATACCACAATCCTTCAAAAACTCATCGGAAATTAATGACTTTGGCCTTTTCGGGCCCTCCTGGAGGCCCTCTTGGAGGCCTCTTGGGCCGTCTTGGGCCATGTTAGGGCCATCTTCGGCCGTTTTGGTGAACCCCTGGCCCGTCCGACGCCGTCGGAAGCCGTTTAGGGGGCCTCTCTGAGCCGACTTGGGGTCCTCTTGGAATGCTCCAGGGCCGTCTTGGAGGCCATCTTGGGCGTCTTAAACGCCTCCTGGGCCGTCTTGGGGGCCTCTTGGGGCCGTCTTGGGGGCCTCTTGGGCCGTTCTGGGGCCATCTTGGAGGCATCTTGGGCGACCTTTGGGCGATCTTTTGGGGCTCTTGGGCCGTCTTCGGCCGTCGGAAGGCCGAAAATAAGCAACTGTCAAAATATTTGAAAGAGCGCGTTCAGTGGTCGCTTGGAGGGGGGGGGTTGAAACCGGACCACCCCCTCCCCTTGATGGAGGGGGGGGTTCGAACCCCCCCCGCCCCGCCCCCCCTCTGCTTCCCCTCTCCTTGGGCCGGCGCTTGCGTCGGCGGCGGCTTGCGACGGCGGCGGGGACGACGATTTCCATTTCTGGTCCAGCGCCGGCGCCTGCGGCGGCGGGCGGCGGTGGCGGGGATCGTCGACGAGGACGACGGTGGTGGTGGTGGTGGTGGTGGTGGTGGTGGGTTGTGGTGGTGGTGGTGGCGGTGGTGGTGGTTGTGGCGGTGGTTTGTGGAGGTGGTGCTGGTGGTGATGGTGGCGGTGGCGGTGGTGGTGGTGGTGTGGTGGTTTGTGGTGGTGGTGGTGGGTTGTGGTGGTGGTGGTGGCGGTGGTGGTGGTTGTGGCGGTGGTGGTGGTGGTGGTGTTGTGGTAGATTGTGGTGGTGGTGGTGGTAGTGGTTGTGGGTTTTTGCGATGGTGGTGGTGATGGTGAGTTGTGGTGGTGGTGGTTGTGGTGGTGTGGTGGTGGTGTGTGGTGGTTTGGTGGTGGTTGTGGTGGTGGGTTGTGGTGGTGGCGGTGGTTTGCCTCGATCAGGGAAGTGGGCAGCACACAGAGGAAGGGTTCCCCAGTGGAGGCCTCTCGGAGCGTCTTGGGGGCCTCTTGACGGTCCCGGGCGCCTCTTAGAGCGTATTGGGTGTCTCGGAGAGTTTCTTGGGGCCTCTTGGGGGTCTTTTGGGGGCCTCTTGGAGGCCTCTGGGGCGCCTGTTTGGGCCTCCTGGCGCCTCCTGGGCGCCTCTTGGGGCCCTCCTGAAGCGCTCTTGGGAGCCTTGGGAGCGCTCTTGGAGCCCTCTTGGGCCATCTTGGAGTCATCGTGAAGCCTCGGATGGCCATCTGAAGCGAAAAGGCGAGAAAGCCCAAGACATTGATTTCCCTGAGGTTTTGAAAGGATTTTGGCCTCTTCGGGGCCTCCTGGGAGAACTCTTTGGCCACTTGGAGCCGTCTTGAAGCGGCCTTGGGGCCTCTTGGAGCATCGTGGGAGCCATCTTGAGGCATCTTGGTATATCTTGAGCCATCTTGGAGGTCATCTTGGGCTCTCCCAGGCGCTCTTGGAGTCATCTGAACCAGTGCCCCCCCCCCAGGAGGCCCAAATGTGACCAAAACCTTAGTAACATCAGTGATTTTGGCAGTCTCGCCGAGGCCTCTTGGAGCGTCTTGGGTGCCTCTGGGGGCCTCTTGGGGCCACTTGGGGGTCTCTTGAGAGCCAGTTGGGGCATCCTGGGGGCCTCTTGGGGGCTTCTTGGGGCCACATGGGGCCATCTGGGGCCATCTCGGGGCCTCTTGGGGCCTCCTGGGCGCCTCTTGGGGCCATCTCGGAGGAGATCGATCACAGGATGGGGGGAGGCTAAATTAGCCTGCCCCAATCAGGAGGCCAACATGGGGGAGGGGGAGGATCAGGAAGGCGGAGGAGGAGGAGGAGGGAGAAGGAGGAGGGAGGAGGGTAAGGTGGGGGAGGATCGCTTCCCCTCCTCTCCTCCGCTCCGGCGCGCGCGCGCTCGCGGCAGACTTTCTGTCCGAACGGCGTCTCCGCCGAGAGGAGCCGTTCCCTAACCTCTTGGCGGTTGCTTCTGATGCTCGTTCTCTGTCTCTGTCTCTGTCGCTCTCTGTCTCTGTCTCTCCCTCTCTCTGTCTATCTCTGTCTCTGTTTCTCTCTCTCTCTCTATCTCTCTCTTTCTCTGTAGTTTGTTGTTTCTATCCCTCTCTCTATATCTCTACATTTCTCTCAATCTCCCTCTCTGTCTCCCTCCCCTCGAGGGGAGGAAGGGGAGTACCCTCACCTCCTGTGGCGCCGCGCCATACACAAACACACATCCACACACATACACACATCAACACACAGTCACACGTGTGTGTGTGTGTGTGTGTTGCTGTTGCTGTTGCTGTTGCTGTTGCTGTTGCTGTTGTTGTTGTTGTTGAACATTATTTATTCTAAAGAATAATTATTGTTGGGCCCCCTGGTGCGCGCCCCCCCTGCGCCGCCTAGGCCGCAGCTACATTTTCATCATTTTCGTGAGGAAGCCTCAGAAAAGAGGGTGTGTACAGGATCCGGTTGTTTTGTTGTAATCCGCTTTCCCTTGCAAAAAACAATAGAAAATGACATTTCTTGTTCTAATATAATCAAATTTCAAGAATCCCTTGCAAAAAATAAGGTAAAGTGGACATTCGCGCGCGCAAGACGAAATCCTTCCAAAACCTTAGTGTTCGCAGCGATTTTAACATAAAAACATCAAAAAACCAATGGTTTTTCAACAAAAAATTGTCAAAATCTCATCCCGCGCGCTCTTGCGGATTCGTAGGAAACCCAACACTTTTTAAACATTTCTGTCAAACGGGCTTTTGCGAGCAACTTTTTCGAACTTCTGCAACAACGGTTGCGCACCTGCCAGGGCCATCATCCCTGTCAAATAATACCATGCGGGACACATTCGTTTTTTCTTCGCGCGCGCACGCCGTCGTCGTCGGCCGCGGGGCCCTGAATAGTAGCCACGGTCGTCCGCATGCCACGAAGTGAAGTGTCCGAACGTCATAGGGCGGGAAGCTGGGTGTGGGTGGTGGCGAAGAGTCGTTTGGAAATTTGGTAGAGCTTGAACCGGCCCCCCCACAAAGTGGGGGTATTGCCCGCCTCCTATGAAAACCCTGGCACTGGTGAGAACGGAGTGTCCCCACGTGCTAGTAATTGTTGTTGTTGTTGTTGAACATTATTAATTCTAAAGAATAATTATTGTTGGGACCCCTGGTGCACGGCCCCCCTGCGCCGCCTAGGCCGCAGCTACATTTTCATCATTTTCGTGAGGAAGCCTCAGGTAATACGATGTCATCAAGATCCGGTTGTTTTGTTGTAATCCGTTTTCCCTTGCAAAAAACACTATAAAATGACATTTCTTGTTCTAATATAATCAAATTTCAAGAATCCCTTGCAAAAAATAAGGTAAAGTGGACATTCGCGCGCGCAAGACGAAATCCTTCCAAAAGCTTAGTGTTCGGAGCGATTTTAACATAAAAACATCAAAAAACCAATGGTTTTTCAACAAAAAAATGTCAAAATCTCATCCCGCGCGCTCTTGCGGATTCGTAGGAAACCCAACACTTTTTAAACATTTCTGTCAAACGGGCTTTTGCGAGCAACTTTTTCGAACTTCTGCGACAACGGTTGCGCACCTGCCAGGGCCATCATCCCTGTCAAATAATACCATGCGGGACACATTCGTCTTCTCTCTCTCTGTCTCTCTGTATTATGTATTGTATGGCACAATTGCACCATGCTGGGCACATGCGCGCCCCGAATAAGTGACCAAGTTCTGTGGGTGTGTACCCCACGCCAGTGTAGTAGCCACGGTCGTCCGCACGCCACGAAGTGAAGTGTCCCAACGTCATAGGGCGGGAAGCTGGGTTTGGGTGGTCGCGAAGAGTCGTTTGGATATTTGGTAGAGCTTGTAATGCCCCCCCACGAAGTGGGGGTATTGCCTGGTGTCGTATGAAAACCCTGGCACTGGGGAGAACACCACGCGTTCGGGTAAAATGATTGTTGTTGTTGTTGTTGTTGTGCCCCCCAAAGATGTCGGCCTCTGGAGGGGAACTTGTTTGCCGCTTTGCAATGCAACTGCGGCCCGCGACGGGAAGCCGATCCCTGGGATCCCGCGCGAGATGCTTTGGGGTCATGGCGTGAAACGTTCAAGACGTCGGAGGTCTGAGGAGGGAGTGAGGGGGAGTAGGAAAAGGGGAGGCGTGTTTTTGTGGTTTTCTCGGGGCTCACTTGTTTTCAGGGGGGGTCTTCCCCTTGCCCCCCCAACGGGTTTCGGGAACTCTAGATGCCAACTTGGGGTTGTACTTGGGATGGTTTGAAAGCGTGGCCCCGCAGTATCAATCACTCATCATGCTTGCCTCGACTGTTTGGTGGTGCGTATCTGTCTCTCTTTCTCTCTCTGTCTTTGTCTCTCTCCCTCTTCCTCTCCCTCTCTCTCTCTCTCTCTCTCTTTTGCTCTCTTTCTTTTCCGCCCTCACTCTCTCTCCCCCTCTCTCTCTCTCCCCCTCTTTCTTTCGCAATCAGGAGTTGCACTCGAGGTTCTCGCTCGGTGTGAGAACAGTTTGCCTGTCTTGTTATATTTATGTTTGTTGTTTCCTTCGGGTCCCTTGCGTTGGGTTTTCGCTTTACTTGCCCTGCATTGTTGTTTTTGTTTTCTGGTATTTGTCCATCGGGTTGCCCATAGTGTCCTGGCGTTGGTTGCTTTCGCGTGCCGGTTCTTCAGGGGTTGCCCATATGGTCTCGCACGTAGAGTCGCGCTTTTGGTTGCCGTCGACGATTCGGTTCTTGTGTAATTTCCCATATGCCAGAGTCTTGGCCTGAACCGACATCGTCTGCTGGGCGTTCCAGTTGTCGAGCTGGGGCGAGGAGGATGAGAAGGGAAGATGATCGCCCTCTCGGGCTTCGCAATACACCTCTGGGCGTCGCCGTCGTCGTTAAATCGTTCCTAAGTTCCACCCTGGCAAGTTTTTCACCCCATATCGGTTCCTTCTAACGGCCACTGGGCCCAGAAACAGTCCACGGAGGCCAGGGAAATGAGGAAACGTGGATTCGAACATCGAACATCGAATGTCGTCGTCGTCGTAGTCGTAGCCGTAGTCGTCGTCGTGGTCGTCGTCGTCCGCGCGCGCAGGAGCGAGTCATGCAAAAACATGTGCGAAGAGTGCGCCCTGCCGCGCCGCCCCGCCTCCGCCGCGCGCGGGGGGTTCCTTCTGACTTGGCCTCCTCCTCCTGCAGGACATCCAGGCTGCTACACTTTGCAAAGCCACCGTCGTGGTGAAGGGCGTGAAGTCGTATTGTTTTGTCAGCTGCGAGGAGTTGGGAGGTCTGGGCTTCGTTGCGGTTAGCCTTTCTGGTTTGTCTCCCTTATCTGTCAGACGGAGTTGGTCGACGGTCCGGACCTCGTGGTTTTGGCTGCGCGTTGCTTGAGAAGATGCAGGAAGGGTGAGTCCGCCTGGGTGGGGTGGGAGGGATTGGCCCTCCTTGGTGCCTCCTGTGGGCTTGGCCTATCCTGCGCTTGGGGGGAGGCAGGATCCCTGGAGGTGCGTGTGGCGCGGTCATTCTACCCTGTGGCGCCAAGGGTGTTCCCCCCCCCCTTCGCGGGTAGCTAGGGAGCATGCTCAATTATGCGTTGCTCTCGTGCTTCTCGTTCCCCCCCCCTCCCCATCCCTCTCCTCCTCATCTTCTCCCTCCCCCTCCCCCTCCTGGCGATGGGCGTCTGCAAGCGTCCAGAGGCGTGCTTGAGCTCCGGGTTGCTAGATCCAGGCGCACAGAGGTGAAGGCGATGACGCGGGCGGCAGCGGACGCCTGCGTGAGGAGCCGCCTGGCCGGCCGCGGCCCAAGGCCGGGGCGCCAGCGCAAACCGTGTCCGAAATGGCTCCCCTACCCCCTTCCCTCCCCACCACCTGCCTCCGCCCATCCCCCTCTCCTCCCCCCTCCCCATTTGTCTTCTCCTTCCCCGCCTCCCTCAAGCAGCGCTCGCCCAAACCATTTCGGCATGTTGACAGCGTCCTCGGCGCCGTCCGGAGGTGCTCGGGGGGCACGTAGGCGTGCCGTCTGCAGAAGAGGTGGCCAGTCAAACCGATTTTACACTGCGCAGCAGCTCTGTATAACCAAAGCCGAGGTTGTAGATCACATTAAACACCCTTGCACTTCATCTTATGTCGAGGCATTATTGTTCGTACTCCACGTGGCTTTGGTCGAAGTGCACAGGGCGCGGGCGCACCGAATGCAATTTCGTTCTAGAGCACATGCTCTTTCGGCAGACAGCCAAGCTCCACAAACCAAAGTCTTCAGCCGATCGCGAGAATCACAAGTGGTGACCTTGGACGACAAATTCCAGGAGGCAGCGGCGGTGGCAAGGGGAATCCAGAAGGTCGACCTTCAGACACTCTGACGTTGCTCGAGAGGCCCCTCGGGAACACTAGTGGCCCACTACTCCTGAAGCTTTCGAACGACGAGGTTAGGAAGGGCAAAGCCAAGGCGGCCGCGAACCCCGTTGTCACGGCCGATGAGGCTTTGCGGCGGCGCGCGTCGGGCGCATGGCGCGACGCGTCCATGAGTCGCGGCCAGGCGGCGCATGCCGTCGTCGAAGCCCGCGAGAACCATGGCAAGTCGGAGCTCCGTAAGAAGGGGGCGGCCCTGGTCTTTGACACTGCCGAGGAGGTTGACGAGCAAGGCGTTGCCAGCCGAGGCCAGTGTGGTCGAGATTGCAGCCCCGCCCAGGGAGGCCAACTTGTTCGATGTCAATCAGCATCGACGAGGACTTCTCCAGCAACGCCGACGGGTTCGAGTGCCAGCGGGAGGAGATGCGCGCGCTCCGTCAATTCGAGGAGTTCAGGGGCGCAAGTCACGTCATCCACGTGAGGAGGCACTCCCAGGTTCAGGTGTGGCAGGATGTGGCAGGACCGTCTCACGGCTACCAAGACGGCCACCACGGAGGCTCGCCAAGACAAGGAGAGCCAACGGCGGCCCAGCGGCAACAGGCGACGCCGAGGGCCCTTCCTTCCCGCATGGCGTCAGAGGTGGAGCGGCCGCGATTGGCGCCGCCGCGGCCTGCGCCGCCGCGGCCGGCGCCGCCGCGGCCGGCGCCGCCGCAGGCACATGCCAGGGGCAAGTCCGCTCGTGTGACGGCGTCCGACGACGCAGAGCAGGCCGAGAAGTTGCAGGAGGCAACCGACAAGGTCAGCGCTGTGCAGCTTGCGGCAGCGGAGGAGGCCCAGAAGGCTTCAGCTGCAACTCGTACGCGTTCCAGCGCGGCGTCCCAGCCTCCACCGAGTCCGAGGATTGGGACGAGAGATTTGGGTGCGCTGTCAGGCTCTCTCAGCGCCGGAACGGGGGGTCGCGCAGGCGTCCGCGTTTCCACAGTCTGCTGATAATAGTAACGTCTTCGCCAATGTCACGTGCATCGGGGAAGCAGGCGCGGGGTGGCAGTGCATCGGATCAGCATCCAGTATTTTGTTGCATCGGTTTAGTTCAGACCCGCCCTGCGCAGAGCACGCGCGAGGAGCGGACCTTCAAAGCTCGGTCGCACCATCTAAAATTGCTCGCCAATCATGCCCTACAGTCGTCCCAATAATCACCTTGTAGCTCTCAGAAGAAGAGGGACAACGAGGGAGGATAATGTTTGTTGGCCCTGGTTCATGGGGGCGCTCAGTCTCTCGACTCCTAGGGGATTGCTTGCGGAAATGTGCGAGTACCTCGATTGTATGTTTGGTTTCAGTTATAGACGTGTATGGGTGTTCTCTTGCTTCAGTGTTTGTGGTTGTATTGGCAACCTGGGGGGGGACTGTTCTGGGGAGAACTTACAGACACTCCATTGTTATTAGGGCCCTCTTAGTCAGCCTCCAGCTGCCCTCGATGGGATCCGCCGATTAGAATATGCCAGCTAGCCTTTTGAAGAGACGGGGAGTCGTAGATCGAGTCCGGGGTCGCGTCCTCGCGGCTTTGTCGCGTCGGTCACCTGCGCATCCCGTGCTAGATGATTGTAGATCGATCGCGCCTTGGCAAGCTCGAGTGTTTTTCTTGCTTTGCCCGTCTCGAAGCCATAGATGACGCGCCGTGGAAAACGCGCTGCGGGTTTCTCTGGCATTTCAGGGGCTTCGCGGCCCAACTTCTCGCGCGCTCTCGACGCGCGGCGGCGCGGCTGCCGCGGTCGCGCCGCCCCGCCCCCGCCCCCGCCCTCGGTCCCAAGTCGGCGCGGGTCAAGGCGGCCCGCGCCGAAGAGTCGGCTGGGGCGAAGGCTCGCGCCCGCCAGGAGGCTGTGGATTTGCGCGGCGCAGTGCGCTTGACAAGCCTGGCGAGGACGGCTCGCAGGAGATTCGGGCCGACGTCGGTCCCGACTTTGAGTTTGCGTCTCCGCTCGTGGATCGGGGTTTGGGAGGCGGGGGCCCTCGGGCCGCTGGGCCCGCGAGTTGTTCGCCTTCTCTGGGGGCTCGGGGGCCTGGAGGCCAGGCTGGCGCGCGCTCGGCGGGCTCGGGGGGCCTCGCTCCCCGGCCCCCCGGTCGCGGCAACAGCAGAAGGCGCCCAGACGCAGGAGGTCAGTCGGGCAGGCTTCTTGGGCCCTCAGGCGTTCCAGCCGCGCGCGGCTGCTGATGATGTTTCTGCTCCTCCCCCAGTTTCCCCCATTCCGTCCCTATCTTGGCTCACGCGTCGCACGCAATTTTGGTTTCTTGTCTGCAACTTGCAAGTGGGGCGTCGCGTCCAGGTCTTGCCCGCGAGGTGGGCGCTCGCAACGTCGACGAGGTCAACGGCAGATTCGGAAGTTGGACGGCCAAAGTCGAACGCGCTTAGGAGTTCAGGATGGTTGCCTCGCTTCACATATACGCAAGCAAACTCGCTTGAGGGTGACCACCCATGAACGCGTGAGATGAACAGGTGTGTGTGTGTGTGTGGGTGTGTTCGTTACTGTGTGATTGTGTGTGTTTGTGGCCCCCGCTTCTCCTGGTCTGTTTTTCCGGTTCCGCTCGCTGTTCTCTTTTGCCTGCCCCTCTGTTACCGCCGCGACACTGCACGCGTGGCTGCCGATTGTGCTGTGTGTGTGCTGTGTGTGCGCTGTGTGTGTGTGCTGTGTGTGTGTGCGTGTCCTGTCGCCGCTCCCTTGCACGGCCGGCTGACTGCCGGGATCCCTGCTGGTCTCGGCGCCATTTCGGCTAGCCGTCCAGCGGACCCCCCTTTTCTCCGCCTCCTCACTCCTCGACGCTGTCTGACGACCGCTCACTTGCCTGATTCCGCGTGGTCTCTCATTCCTCCGGCTTGCCTCCTCCGCCTCTCTCCCTCCCTGACGTGCTCGATTGGGTCTGCACCTTTCCATCGCCTTCGGATTTGCAGTTCGGAGGTTTGGCTTGAGCTGGACTGCCCTGGTGGATTACAGACACACAAATGGGTCATTTAGCTCAGAGTGTGGCCCGTCCCTGTTTTACCAGAGATTGCTTCGCCACCGCGTCGGAAGAACGGGTGTGTTTCTGTGTGTTTCTTGCTGTGTTGTGCTGTGCTGTGTTGTGGTACGTCGGTTGTCATCATCGCACTGCTTCGTCTTTCCCTTCTTCTCTTTCATCGTCTTTACCCTGCCTGTCCCCTCACGGCTGCCCCCCGTGAGTGGCGTTGTCGATCTCCCATTGGTGGGTCCATCGTCTCCCTGCTGCGTGAGTTGGGCTGGCTCTTGTCTTTTTCTTGACCTATCTATGCCGCAGTGTTGCACGCGTGGCCGCAACGACAGCACATGTGTGTGTGTTTGCTTGTGTGTGCGCGCACGTGTGTGACTGTGTATGTGTGTCTGTGTGTGTTTGTGAATGTTGGCGTGCGTGTGTGTGTGTGTGTGTGTGTGTGTTTGCTTTTGCGTGTGTTTGTTTGCTTGTGGGAGGGTGTGCAGTGCGGGGAACGCCGCCGGCCGCCCAGGAACGCCAACCTGCTCGGGGACGGCAACACGCCGTGTCAGGATACCCGAGGGGAAGGTGGATGAAGAGGAGGAAAAGAAGAGTGGAGGAGGAGGAGGAGAAGGATGACTCGAGGTAATATGGTTTTGGAGCGCCTTGACCCTTTTAGTGGGCCCAGTTTCCTGGAGTCACAATTTTGACGGGCACGGTGGCCCGATGGTGCGAATGGCTTGGGGCTGTGGTCCAGACCGCATGGAACGCGGTCGTTCTGGGCTAGGAACTTGCCGGAGCAGCAGGATGATCTCCAAAGGATCCAAGAGGCGCCAGGTCGGTCACAAGATGACCCACAAGGCAGCTCTGTAGCGTATGTGTTCATCGTTGGAGAAAGGCCACGCCCAGATGTTTACGATCCCGCAAACCAGGGGGTGTGTCCACCCTGGTCTTTGTGACGTGCGATTGGTGCAGCTGGACACTGGTGCACAACGGGTGCACACTAGGATCTGTTGATCAAGTATGGCCGTGAAGCACGCGTCCAGATCCCCCAGACGTGGCCAGGTTGGTCTGGCAGAAGGTTCGGGTGACACTTACGAGCTAAAAACAGCACTGCTGTGTTGCTAAAATGTTGGGTCTTTTGGGTAGGTTCTCAGGTGATTGTGTTTTACGCTCTCTTGTCGGCCACGCGGCTGGGGCATAGATAAGCAAAGATGTCCCCTTCCTCCCAGTAAGGGAGACATGTATTTCTATTTAGCGATGTTGTTTTCTTACGTTGTATCCTCTTCAATGTTGCTATACCTGTTTTTCGTATGTCTCCTTCTTGTTATGACACCTCTTTCTGTAGATATGGATCGTTATTCATATATCGTAAGTGTTCTCTGTATTTCCTTCTCTGCCGAATGATTGGACACAACCAGTCGTAGGTTTCGAGCCCGGCAACAGTTCCAGACCCTTCAACACATTCAACACATGCGGATCAGACGAAGCATATAACAGGCCATCAAATTGCGGGCATTGGTTTTGTTGTAAAACCGTTGGTTTTGTTCGGGTTTCCTTTGGAGGGGCAGTTTTCAATCGGCTACGAACCATAAACCTCAGCGATCCCTGTGCAGACACAGGGATCTCCTGGCCGCAGGTTTTCTAGCAATGAAAACCGTATTACACCACATGTGGCGACATCTTCAACAGCAGAGACGCTTGGGGCTGAGGTTGGGAGCCAGTGAACCATGTGAAAAAACATCCCCCTTCGATGTCATGGCCGTGTTACGTGCTGTATCCGTTGTTTCTGGCTTTTTGTTTTTATTGTGGGGTGTTGGGATTTGACAGTTCCAATGCTCCGATCAAACATTCCGCACACCAGAACAAGCAGAAACCACTTTGGAATAGCACAAGGCAGTCGCAACGGGAATCAAGTCGCGGAACGAAGGTGCTTTCACAGTTCTGCCATTTTTCACATGGTAAATCAATATCTCTATTGAATCGCTTCGCTCATTCCGCCGGCCCGTATTGTGTCATCGCGGGCGTTTGCTTGCGCGGTCGCGAGCCAGGCGGCGCTGGTGGGCCGTGGTCGTTTTCCAGAGGCGTTGCGGCAGAACGCACGGGAATGAAACAGTTTGTTTGGAACTTGTTGTGGGGGCTTCGGCCTCTACTGTCTTACGAGGTGACTATCTAGTGGTTTTCTGCACATCCCGCCACCGTGCCTGGGTTGTAGGTCAGAGGCCTCTTGGATGTTCGTTGAGATATCGTGGCAGGCCTCTCGAGGGTTTCTCTGGAGGCAGTTTTGAGGGCTCTTGGGGGCCGTCGGGGTGCTTCTTGGGGCTTCTGTTTAGGTAGGCCTCTTGGGGTCTCCTGCAGGCCTCTTGGGGCCTCATGGGGGCTGCTTGGGGCGGAAGTCTCGAATTGTCGGTTCGTGTTCCCTCTCTTGGGTCCCTCACGGGGCTCTCTTGGGCCGTTCGGGCGTCTTGTGGGCCGTTTTGTCGCTGCTGCTGCTGCTGCTGCTCCTCCTCTTCCTGCTCCTCCTCCTGCTCCTCCTCCTCCTCCTCCTCCTCCTCCTCCTCCTCCTCCTCTTCGGAGCTTCGCAGGGATTCCTGCATGTTGTCGGGGTTCCTGGGGGTTCGCCCAGGGCCCGCCCCACCCCGCTTTGGGAGGACATATGAGGAGGAAGGGGAGAACATGGAGGAGAGGGAGGTGGGGCAGGGATGCGAGGGAGGGAGGGACGGATAGAAGGGGGTGAAGGCGGAGGATGACTAGGGCGACCACTTCGAGGAGGATGGGGCCACTCGCGCTTGACATCCCGCATCATACACGTTGCCGAATGCATGCGCATGTGGGCCGTTGGGGGATCGGTGATGTATGTGCGGTCGTTTCATTATTCATATTGTTGGTTGTGTTTACAGAAGACACGCAACCGACAACCTCTCATAATTTACGCTGACCTCCAGAGCCCCCCCCCCCCCCCCCACATTTCCAGGGCCATCCCGAGCTCATCCTCATCCAATCGAAGTTAGAGGAAAACGCAGTGAAGGATCCAAAGGTGCGGGACGCGAGAAAAGCTAAGTTTTGGGGATCTGGGGAGGGGGCCTCTCGGAGAGCTTATGGATGTTTCTGGGAGTCTCTTCTGGGAGCACCGAGGAGTTTCTCAGGAGGAGTACCTGTGACCCTCTTGGGAGCCCTTGGAGGCTTTTGGGAGGCTTCTTGGGGGCTTTTGGGGGCCTCGTGGGGTCTTGGGAGCCCTTGGAAGTTTCGTGGGAGCTTCTTGGGGACTTTGGGAGGCCTCGTGGATGGTTCTGGGTGGGCCCTCTTGGTGGTCTCTTGGGGGGGGGTGGGTCTGCCTGGCCTCTTGGGGGCCTCCGTGGAGCTTCCACGGGGTCTCCTGGGGGCCTCTTGGGCCTTTTTTGCGGCCTGTTGGGGGCCTCTTGGGGCTCCCTTGGGGGCTTCGTGGGGCTACCTGGGGGCTTGTAGGGGCCTTTCGGGGGCGTGTTTGGGCGGGTGGGCTCAAACTTTCCGTTCAGGTTGCCCCTGTGGACATCAATCATGGGGCAATCACGGGGCCTCTTGGACCGTTTTGGGGGTTTCTTGGGCCTTCTTGGAGCGTTCTTGGGCCGTTCTTGACCGGTCTAGAGGGTCTCTCGGGCCGTCTTGGGGTGATCTTGGGGGTATCTTGGACCGCTTTGACCGGTGCGAGAGACGAAGAGGCGGATATGTTAAAAATGCACGTTTTCCTAAGGGAATGGGGCGATTTTTGTTAGCGGGAGCCCTCTTGGGACGCCGCTTGAGGGCCTCTTAGGGACCTCTTGGGGCGTCTTGAAGGCCTGTTGGGCCGTCCTGAGGCCATCTTAGGCGCTTGGGGGTGATATGTCGGCGTCTCTTCGGCTCTCTTGGACCGTCTGGAGGGCTTTTCGGGCCCCTCTTGGACCGATTTGGAGCCCTCCTGGGTCCCGAAAAAGAGTTCATGAGGGTTTCTTGGGCCTTATTGGAGCGCTCTTGGGCCGTCTTCGAGCGGTCTTGAGGGTCTCTCGGGCCGTCTTGGGGTGATCTTGGGGGCTTCGTGGACCGCCTTGAAAGGTGTGAAAGACGAAGAGGCGGATATGTTAAACATGTACGTTGTTCTATGGGAATGCGACGATTTTTGCTTGTGGGAGCCCTCTTGGGGCGCCGCTTAGGGACCTCTTGGGGCGTCTTGAAGGCCTGTTGGGCCGTCTTGAGACCATCGTAGGCGTTTGGGGATGATATGTCGGCGTCTCCCGGCTCTCTTGGACCGTCTGGAGGGCTTTTCGGCCCCTTCGTGGACCGTTTGGAGCCCTCCTGGGCTCCGAGAAGGGACCTTGCCGGGAGTCTGCCGGGAGTCTTCCGGGACCTTGCCGGGAGTCTGCCGGGACTTTGCCGGGACCTTGCCGGGACTTCGCCGGGACCTTGCCGGGGTAGTTTTCGTCCGGGGACCCCCAGGGCCCGCCCCGCGCGCGCGAACTAGAAATATTGTTGAGCAGTTGCCGGGGATTTTGGCACGCCTCTGGCCCGTTGGGCCGGCGAATTCTAAACACATGCTGATGTTCTTTGACGTCGCTTCGGCGATAATAATAACAGCAACTGTAAACCTTAGTAGCCCCTGTACGCGGACGCACGTTTGTGTTCTTTTCGTTGATGGACGAAGATGAGTAACAGCGGCAAGCCTATGCTCGTACAGCAAAACCATTGTTTCTTGAGGTTTGGGGCCACATGCTGCTGTGAATCTATTTTCTTCTTGCGATGCTATGATTGCTTGTGTGCGTGGTCTGGTGTTTCTGGGTGTTTTGCTTCCCCCGGGGGCGTTGGACATTTGACAACCTGCAGCCAACACATCCAGACCCGTGAACAAACCATAACAATCAGAAGACGCAGATGAGGCAAACAAACTGTCATGACATTGCGGACATACGTTTTTTTCGTTGGTTCCCAGCGTCCAAATCAATGTTTTTGTAGCTACGCTGGGCTCTTTGATTGCTCCCGTCGGCAAAGAAACAACCATACACGTAAGGGATCCCTGTGCAAGCACGCGGGGCACCTGGTTCACACGTGTATCTGTTTTACACATAAATATTTGTATACGTTAATCCCTCAGTCCCTCTCGTTTCGAGCGGTTTCCGCGGGGCTGTTGGCGGCGCCAGACAGGCACGATATGCTTGAGCGACCACAGAGGGCGCCGCGCACATGTGCTCCCTCGGGCGCGCGATGGTGAGCGCCGCTCGAGCTACGCTATTCTCGCTCGCGGTGTTTAACCCGTTCAGCTTCACGGGCGCGCGCGGCGAGGACGTCAGCGCACAGTTGCACCATATCCAGATCGTCGGATGCCCTGGCACGAACATGCCGAAGCACCCACACAGCACGCACCACATGCAGGGCTACGACCACCACGCGGCCATTCACTTCGGGCGCGGCAAGCACAGCGTGCACGTGAACACCTCCGCAGGGTGCGCCACCCTCCTGAACAGCAGGTTCAAAGAGAAGCACATCAACGACATCACGGCACCACCGCCGGAGCTACACGGACGCGTAGGAGCCACCATCGAACGGGGCGTCACTAAGTTGAGGT